GAGGCTGAGCTCAGACTTTCCCCCTAACTCTCCACCATTAAGTGAGGTCTTTCACTCATGAGCACTATGCACCATGGCATTACTGATAGTTACCAACTGGTCGAGGTGTAGGGAAAGAAAAAAAACCTGTTATGTCCTAGTCAATCATGCTGCTGACTGGTATGCAGGAAATTTAAATAGCGATGGTGGGCTGAGGAACCGCTGACTAGGAGAGTGAGGAGCACTCTGATTCTTATCCACTGGTGCAGTGTATCCTTCACGTGCTGCTTGGATGTGGGGAAAAACTGCACCAAAACACTGTATGAGAAGTCCAGGAGCTGCAGGTGTGACCAGAAACAGGGCCCCTGAGCACAACTTTTTATCTCTGGTGACTATGAATGACTGTTGTTCCCAGCCTGGAAACCCGAACCCAACCTCCTGTGAGGCCCTAAAAGTCTCTTTGCTCAACTCACTTGCCTTCCTTACTCTAGCCAGAGGACCTACTATATATCTACTGTGATACATAATCATCCCCTAGACCCTCATGGGTTTTGCATCATTATTTGTTAAATTATTTTTAGGTTGATTGGACTTTTCAGCGGGATCTGCAGATGAGGTTTTGAAACAATAGCCTTTCAAGAAGAGCACAGGCTCCTCCATGGAAGGTCCAGGAGAATGTAAGCCGAAATAAGGAGTCAAAAAGTTTACATCTGGCTGGGCGTGGTGGTGCACACCCATAATCCCAGCCCTCAGAAGGCTAAGACAAGACAATCTTTGCAACTTTGAGGCCAGCCTGGGCTACAAAGTGAGCTCGAGCCAATCTTAAGTACATAGTGAGAGCGTGTCCCAAAAAGAAAAAAGAAAAAAATCTTACGTCTGTCTCAGCGAGGCGTCACTTAAATCAGAAGGAAAAGTAACCTGAACTGCCGTGGCCGTGTGGCACACACGGTCTCGTCTCCTAAGGGAAGAACCCTATGTTGCTCACTGAGGAGGCCTGATGTGAGCACGGCTCAGGGCTGAGACCCTTCATGGGTAGTATGAGAACAGGTCTTAGTTTCTGTCCTCGAGGGTGGTGCAGTTGAGCTTCCTTGTGTGTGAGTTCCCTTGTGTGCTTTGCTTGGTTAATAGGCACACACTGACTTGTCTGTCTGTGGCCTGCTCAGAGAGGCCATAGAGTAAATGAACCTGCTGGAGGCAGTTTTGAGAATCCTTGGACACCACTTAATCCCTATTGGGCAGCAGCATTATCCACGGAGTCTGCAAAAATAGTCTTACCGCAGTGTGACAAGCCATCGCATGCCAGCAAGTCCTGCTGGTTTGGTCTGTCAGCTCCCTGATGTCTGCTTTTCACTAAGCTTCTTGGAGCAGTGATGCATCATGGGTTAATGCTGAAACCCACATACCCAGTGTGTCTAGGCCATGGAGCTCTTCCCAGGACTCCCCCTGCCCTGTGTATCAACAGGAAGAGGCAGAAGGGGCAACTACCGGTGGAACTCATCTGACCTGGTCCTTCTCTGCACCCTCTGGTTGCACAGTGAACACAGAGGTTGTCACACAATGCAGAACTAAGGGCAGCCTTAGCTGCTTTGTAAGAGGACAGCCAGCATGTTCCAATATGCAGGGAGAGGTAGAGTGTGCTCTCTGCCTCGAGCTGCCCAGAGAGCTGTAAGCTCCTTTTGTTCAGAGCAACCCGGTGGTTGCTGGGCAGCCATGGGGCTGCTGACCGTGGATGCACTGTTCTCTGTGGCCATCTTCCTTCTCCTGGTGGACCTGATGCACAGGTGCTAACACTGGGCTGCTCACTACTCACTAGGCCCTGTTCCAGTTCCTGGACTCGGTAACCTGCTGCAGGTGGACTTCAAGAACATAGTATACTCCTTCTACAAGGTAAGGGAGCTGGTGGCGGAGAGCAGCAAAAGTCGGGTGACTGTCCTCTCTGTACTAATAGACAGTAGGGTACAAAGCCACATGCTGGACAAGGATATGGTTTTATCTGAGGAGGGAATTAGAGGCTCTGTCTTGGGGAGGAGTCCACCAGGGCAGAGAACACTGGACTTTCCATAGGGAGAGAAGGGGAGGGAAAAAGACAGGAAATTGAGCAGGATGAGGTAGCAGGACTGGCATCCAATTTCACAGAACAGAACTTTCATAGGACCTAAGACCATTCTGGTGACAGCAGAGACTTGGGGCTGTGGAGCAGTGCAAGGCAGTCCTAAGCAGCACTGGAATCTAGAAATTGATGTTGAGAGAAGTTCTGTCTCTAGCATCAAATCCTTTGTCCACCATGGGGTCCTGGTCCTCTCTGCTTCCATCTGTGAACCTGAGCTTCCTCATCTGAGGAACGAGAGAGGATAAGACCCTGTGTCCATATTTCACCGACACTTTCTGCACTCTGCTGGGGCCCTAGCTGGGCTGTCAGATCGGGTGTAAGGTGGTTGTTCTGAAGTTAAGAAATGTGGCCAGAGCCTGCAGACGCGAGGTGTTGGGCAGTGGTTGGCCTGGAGTGCTGGTGTAGCAAGAATGAGGCCAAGAGCGCCCTCATCACGCTCATAAAGAAAAAGAAGAAGAAAGCAGCGAACAGAAGAGAGAAGGCAGTAGACCTGGTGTTTGCACTGCTTTACCTGGGTTTCCATGTCTTGGCAACGAGGTTGAGACGTGCATTATGGCAGGAATCCCAGCTTCACAGGAACCCTGTCCCTCCACCTGCAGCTGCAACATCGGTTTGGGAACGTGCTCAGCCTGCAGTTTGCCTGGACTCCAGTGGTTGTTGTCAGTGGGCTGGCAGCTGTGCGGGAGGCTCTGGTGAACCTAAGCGAGGACACCTCAGATTGGCCCATACTACCCACCAATGCACTACCGGGCTTTGGACCGAAAGCCCAGGGTAAAAGTCTATAGGTCACAGATGAAATCAGGGTAGAATGCTGGGCGCGGTGACCCACAGTGGACAGGGCTTATTGTGCATGGTAATATGTTCAAGGGACAATTGAGGTCCTTGACCTCTGGCTATGAAGTCAGAAAAGGAGCCGTTGCACAGTGATGGAGACAAAGTTTGTGTTGGGTCAGCAGCCAGGAGTGAGGGAAGGTTGCAAGGCACAGGTTAGTACTTTCTTGTCCTGACTTGAGCTCTGCTTTCTAGGGGTTATTGGGGCACCCCTATGGGCCCACCTGGCTTGAGCAGCAGTGCTTCTCTGTGTCTACACTGTGCAACTTTGGCCTGGGGAAGAAGTCCCTAGAGAAGTGGGTGACTGAGGAGGCTTCCCATCTCTGTGCTGCTTATGCCAACCATGCTGGTAGGTCATATGTTGAGGACAAGAGGAAGCCACTGTGTACAGAAGTCTCAAGGAGAAGTGGAACAGTAGGGGGAATGCATTTCTATTTCCAGGACAGCCCTTGCGCCCCAGCACCCTGCTGAGCAAAGCGGTCTGCAACGTGATCTCATCCCTCATCTATGCAGGACGATTTGAGTATGATGACTCAACAGTGCTCAAGATATTACAGTTTCTAGAGGACACTGGGGAAGAGGACAATAGCTTATTGCTTCAGGTACAGTGTTGAGGGGAATCTGTGCAGTGAAAGCATCCTGCAGAAGGGCTTTGAAAGGATAATTTGCCTGCAGGAGGGATGGGAAGAAAGAATCAGGGAGGATCACTGCAGGAAGAAAGGTGTGGGGGTGGCAAATCAGAAAGCAGTAATGGGAGAGGTGGCTGAGGTTCTGGGCTGCAGAGAGGATTAGAGCGTGTGTCCACCCTGGAAGGGACCCAAGCTCATGAGATTTCTGTGGTAGGAGGTTCCTGTGGCAGCTCAGTAGCAGGAGAGAGCTTTTATGCCGGCACAGTGGAGGGATCAGGGCAAAGGTGTGGAGCATCAGTCCTTGGGTCACCATGGAGGTGGCTGGGTATGAGATGACACCTGTGGGTCTGGAGCACAGGAAGCACCCAGGCTCCCTTTGTGCTGTCACAGGTAGTGAACTCAATGCCCCTGTTCCTGTGCATCCCATGGGTGGCTGCCAAGTCCTGCCCGCACAGAGGTCCTTCATGGCCTTGAATGATGAGCTGTTGGCTGAACACAACACAGGCTGGGACCCAGACCAGCCTCCCCGAGATCTGACTGATGCTTTCCTGAACGAGGCGCATAAGGTGAGAGTGGGCTGTGAGAAGGGATCAGGGTGTGTGAGCCAAGTGTTCTGGGAGGCCTCAGCATCTCCCAGAGACCCAGCACCTGTGCTGAGGGGTGGTGCATGGGGACATTTGTGCCATTCTGCCCACTTTCCACTGAGGCCACTGTCTCTGCCTGTCTCAGGTCAAGGGCAACTCCGAGAGCACCTTCAATGATCAGAACCTTCGTCTAGTAGTTCTTGAGCTGTTTTCTGCAGGAATTGGGACCACATCAGTCATGTTGACCTGGGCTCTCCTCCTCATGATCTTGCACCTGGATGTGCAGTGTGAGCTCTGCTGGGAATGGATGGAACTCAAGGGAGGAGAAATCAGGCCAGCTGATCTGGGAAACACATGAGGCTTGTCCAAGGCACATGAAATGTGATGTTCAGCTCAGATGGAGACAGCACTTAATGCAGGCATGGAGAGGGTCAGAGTCCAGTTTCCAGGGACTGACTCACCAGGGGAATCCTACTCTGACCAGGTCAAGTGCAACAGGAGGTCGATGAATGATATGGCCGGGGCCGCGCCCAGAGATGACAGACCAGGCCCGCATGCCCTTCATCAATGCTGTGATTCAGGAGGTGCAGCGCTTCGCAGACATCGCCCCACTGGATGTTCTTCACATGACATCTCATGACACTGAGGTGCAAGGCTTCCTCATCCCCAAGGTAGGGCCCATCCCCTGGGGCCCTCCTTCCTTACCATGGCCACTGCCAAGTGTGGCCAGAAACTGTTGTGTCACCTGGCCCCGATACCATTGGTGCTGCCAAGTCCAGCCTGTGTGTGTGGTGCTGCACCCATTGCTGCCCTGTGCTCCCTGATCCCCCAGCGTAGTTGGAGGATGAATTAACCAAAGTGAGGAGTTGTTGGAGGATCCCGTGCTCGTGGGGAAAAGTGGGACTCTTGGCACCCTTGGGATCGCAGTCCTGTGGTTTTGCCATGTGCTCATGGAGGGTCCTGAGAAGCTTCTGGGCCTAATAGATAGTTGAGAGGCTCCTTGTGCCTCTGTACCCCCACCAGCCTGTGAGCCACATAGTGTGCTGGTGGATATTAAGTGTCAGAGTTTCTAGCTCCTGTACGTCAGGCCACATTCATGCCATGTGTGTCCTGCCAGAGGACAATGCTCCTCGCCAACCTGTCATCAGTGCTGAAGGATGAGTCTGTCTGGGAGAAGCCCTTGCACTTCCACCCTGGACACTTCCTGGACGCTGAGGGCTGCTTTCTGAAACGTGAGGCCTTCATGCCATTCTCCGCAAGTGATTATCATGCACCAGGCTTGGTGTCCCTTCCGGGGTGCCTTGGTGAGGAGGAGCTCAAGCCTCGGTGTAACTGTGCCCTGTGCACTCCCTCAGGTCCCTGCACATGCCTCGGGGAGCCCCTGGCCCGCATGGAGCTCTTCCTGTCCTTCACCTCCCTGCTGCAGCACTTCAGCTTCTCGGTGCCTGAAGGGCAGCCCCGGCCCAGTGAGCGTGGTGTACCTGCCTTCATAGTGACTCCATCCCCTTACCAGCTCTGTGCTGTGCTCCGCTAGAGGATGCATTGTGCCCCACTGGACCCTAGATGGGAGACTGTATGTACAATAAACTGGTCTGTGACTGTCACCTGGTGTCTGTATCCAACCCTCCTTACTCAAACCCATGTGTGATGCTTTCACCCACGTGTCTAAAGCTAGCCTTGAATCCCTGCCTTATCCATCCCGACCTGATCACTGCAGTCACCACATGAGAAATGTATAAACTGATGCTCAGCAGGTGACAACTCACCCCATGTTCCCTGTGGAGACCCAAGCCAGGCTGCTGAATTGGTGGCAAACCCTAGGCAGCAGTCAGAGCTCCTTGGGTGTCAGGTCGGGGCTGAGTGTGAAGAAGTTTCTCTTGAGAATAACCACAATAATAACAATATGCTGAAAGGTGTTCTTGATCCCTAGGGTCATCTTCAGGTTCAATGAATAAATAGAAAATGATGGCAAAATGGAAAAGTTCTTGTTCTCATTGTTATGGTTTATTACAGTGACACAGTACACATGGAAATCAGCAGCACTGACAGGTACAGGGTTGGGGTCCAGGAAGACAGACACAAGGTTCAGCTGTGCTGTCTGAGGAATTGCCCAGATGGTCAGTTCTGCCAGCCACAAGGGGTTTCTGACACAATGGGCACTCCTTACCAGGGCAGACTCAGTCCAGCCTTGGTGTCCAGGGGTTTTCTTGAGGTGCGCTTTGTTGGTACAGTGCACCAACATGCCTCACCTCAGCGACTCAGTTTCCATCCACTCTGGGTCATATTCAGGCAGTCTAGGGCCTGACTTTGGCCAGGTTGCTGGCATAAATGGAGAGGTTTTACCCACAGCTGCTCCAGGATCAGCTTCTCAGGAGGAATCAGCGACAGCATCAGGGAAAGCTTCCCTGATGTCCACCAGGATTCAAGTGCTTGCTTTGGCACATGCAGGGTCCAATGCAGGAGCCTCCCGTGGTGACTAAGTCATCGTCCTGCACCACGCTCTTCCTGCAAAGTGCTCACAGTCATACGAGTACCCTTATGACTTCATTTCTTCATGGAATGACAACTACCAAACCTTTAGCATCGTCCTCTACTACTTTTTTCTTTTTTGCTCATGCTGAGGGTCAAACTCTAAGCTTTGTGTGCAGTCAGCAGATGCTCTGCCAGTGAGCTCCACTTCCAGCCTCACCTTACCCATTTTCCAGCATCTGCAGTGCTGTCACAGGTGTTAATAATGGACAAAGAGCTCACCGACCACCCGCAGCTGTCTTCACCATGGAAAGCTGAGGCCCTCAGCCCCTCACACAGCAGCGCCTGTGCCCTCCTCCCTACCCCTTGGCAACCAGCAGCCCGCTTTCTGTATCTGTGAAAATGGTAACTGCAGGGACGTCATCAAAGTGGAATCCTGTCTGTGTGTCTGTTTGACTGACTTATTCCACTTGAGGGAATGTCCAGGTTTTCTTCCTCTCTCAGGAGATAGAGATACTTCCACAATTTTTAAATGATTTTATTTTTTTTTATTTAAAGAAAGAATAAACAAAACAGAAAAAGGGTAGAAATAATACATAATTTCAAAGAAAATATAAACAGTAAGAAATCATTAATTGATAATTACATGTTATCCTCTTACAAATAGTTGTTCAAGTTACAACAGTGTAGCATGCAAAGTGGACACTGAAAGAGCGAGACTGCAAACAGTTCTGTTCAACTATCCAGCAAAAACTTAGTAATATGATTATCAATCCTATACACTTAAATATACATGCAGTTATCCATACCTTTATGTATGTTAAGATTAAACAAACCAAAGCAGGCTAAAATCACTCTGAACAGAGAATAATTGTATTCCTGGATTACACATCATGACACTTCGGGATCATCACTGGGTACTGTAGTGTCTCTTTTTCTTCAAAGTAGTTGTTCATTTCATCATTCATTATATGATCAATTCTCATAAGCTGTTTATAGGATCTATGTATGCATAAGTCTCTATATGTATTTCTGTGCTTTCTATATTATATTAGAGGGAGAAACAAAACAAAGGAAGAAAAAAACAAAATGTATTCCTATAAACACTGAAATGAAAAAGTCATATAAAACCACAGTACAAGATGTTCTACAATGGTTACTCTGTTGTCTCTTGTTATCTTCAATAGAATTGTCTATATCATCAGGCATAGTATAATTGCATATAGCAGTACATAACAATATTAATAAAAACAAAACATTGTAGATAGTGTAAAACTTCAAAAACAGGTAATAATGAAACCAGAATGGGTATCACAGTGGATCTTGTCATCTTCAGTGTAGTTGCCTCTACTCTCAGACTTGATACTATCAATCATAACAGTTTTGAATAAAATCTGTTGATACCCAACAGCAGTCTAACAAACCAGATTCAACTAAGATCAGTCATGGTAACTCTATAAGTCATACAGGGCTCCAGCTTAAGTTTATAGGAAATTAAGGATGACTACCATACTATATCCTGTGATTTCCAAGATAGCTGTCTGTGCCCTCAGATCTAGTGGAGTTAGACAGACTGGGACAGAATATAATCTATCTAAACAAAGCAGTGTGAGTAATGTGGATTTTAAATCCTGATACACTATTAACAAGAGTCCTCTGCCTTCTTGTGTTTGACTATTCTCTCCTTTCAGTCCCACATGGTGCACTGTCCATTTTTGGGTCCCACCAACTCCCTCAGTTTTTAGATTTGGGGGGCCAACCTGCTATTTACCTAAGTGGTTCAGAACCTTCTCCCTCCTGGACTTGTTCTCACGTTATATTCCTTTACCTACAATACCTGTGTTTCCAATCTATCTGCAGGTACTGTTTGAGTTACCCCTATTACTCTCTGGTTCCCTGTCACATAGAGTGTCGTTTCCTCATATTTGAGTTTTAGTCTGTAAACCCTTTTTCAGGTTAATTATATTTCCCATATAGAGCATCATGGTGGACCCTGTCTCCTGCCTCCTGATCTACTCTACCTGTGTTTCTTTTTTTCTTTTCTTTTTTTTAGTGTACCAGGGCCATCTACCTTAGAGATTATAACCAACCTTCTCTGCCTCATTTCTGCTATTTTTCTGCCATTAGTTGTCTGCTTTTCTCCTTCATTGCACTTTCTGCTCCATTCATTGAGGCCTCTTTGCCACTGTTTCTGAAATCGTGGTACTTCTTTCTCTCTCTAGAATGTCTTACAGTATTCTCTGTAGAGTTGGATTGGTGGTCGAGAATTCCCCCAGTTCCTCTTTGTCTTGCAAGCATCTTGTTTCTCCATTAATTTCTAGAGACAGTTTTCCAGGGTACATCAATCTGGGTTGGAGGTTATTTTCTTTCCGGGCTTGGAATACTTTGCTCCAAGCTCTTCTTGATTTAATGGTCTGTGTTGAGACGTCTGCTGTGATTTTGATGGGTTTTCCTTTATAGGTGATCTATTTCTTTTCTCTCATGGCTTTTAATATTCTGTTCTTACTTTGAATTTGTGGGATCTTGATTATTATATGTCTGGGTGTAGCTCTGTTTTGGTTGTCATTGGCTGGAGTTCTGTATGCCTCATATATCTGAATATCATTTCCTTTTCCTATGCTTGAAAAGTTTTCCTTAAATATTTTTGTGAATAGCCTTTGTATTTCCTTTGTCTTTACTCCTTATTCTTCATTCACATTCTTTATTCTTAAGTTATAGATCCTCTTGTCATCTTGTAGCCTTTGTATTGTTACTGCCTGTTTCCTTGGTATTGTTAAGAAATTTTTCCTTTTATGATCACACATTGTAAAGCTGTCTTCAAGTTTTGATAGTATATCTTTTGTTTCCTTCAAGCAGTTTTACAAGCTTTTGATGGAGATTTTTATTTCCTGGTAATGTCTTTGAACCTGCTTCATGTATTCTAGGTTTTCTTTATTTCTTCATCAAACGTTTCTCTCCTTTTTTGTATTCCTTCATTCTTCCATGTATGTCTTCTTGAGAGGTGCTTAGCATTTCTTTTATTAATCTGCTTCTATCTTGCTTTACTTGATTAAATATTTCACTTTTGAGCATGTCAATGAGGTCCCGAAGATATCTCTTTAGGTCCACTGATGCCGTGTCTGATATTGCATGTTTGCTGCTCTCAATCTGTTTTGTATTTACCTCTCCTGGATCATTGTTCTCAGGGCTGGGGGCTGGGGACTTGTTCTTGTTTCTTTCTCTTGCCATGTTTTTGGTTTCTTAAAAACAGGTATATAGAGGAGGTCCCAGCCCCTTTCCTTGTTGGTTATGGTTCTTCTGAAGCACGCTGGCTAGGGATTTCTGCCCTCTCTAGTTTGCTATTGGTCACTGAGGTGCAAACAGGGGCGAGTATGCTGGCCACTTCCCTCTGAGTCAGTATACCTATGGGGGCCTTCACTGCGTTAAGGTGTGCCGAGTTCAGAATTGGTTTGGGATGGCTTATTGGGTCTTGGCCAGGGACCCAGGCCAAGCAGATCCCACCAATCTGGTCTGGGAAGGGAACAACTGACTGAAGTCACTGCTGTTCCTTGTTCCTGCTAGTCCTGCCCAATTCCAATATATTGTCCAGTTGGTCCCCCCTTTCTCGTGGGAGGGTCTTTTTCCCAGCACTCACCACAGGTCAATGCAGATCCCTTACTGGCGCTGTTCTTTGTTGGGCTCACCTGCTTCCGACTTCAGTGTGACCACAGTTCCAAAGAGTGTAGCAGCAGGAGTTCAGGCAGCTTGGTCAAAGCAGTGGGAGTTTGGGCAGCTCAATCTAAGTAGTGAGAGATTGGGCAGCTCAATCACAGGGGCGGGAATTTCGGCCGCTCCTTGAGTTGCGGCCACTTGAGTTCAGGCACTCTTGTGAGAGCACCATGGCCGCTAATCTTAGCTTCTCAAATGGTAGCTCCAGGACTGCATGTTTGACTGGTTTTTTTTTCCTTTTAATTTCTTCCTGAGTCGAGAGGATCCATCTTCCTCTGTCTGGACCTCCCCACAGTGTTTTATTCCAGCATCTGAGTTGTCTGTCTCAGGGAGCCTCTGTATTCTGCTGCTTATCTATCCACTGTCGTTAGCTCCTCCCCCATTCCACCATTTTAAAAAAATTTTATTTAAAGAAATGCAAAACAAA